AAAAAAAAAAAAAAGATTCCAGATGCAAGAATGCACATAACCAAGAGGGATAAGTTATAGAATGGTGTACTATAGCAAATTAAAAGATGTTGTTATGACTATTCAATATATACTACAACAACAACAAAATCCACAGAACTATGATCTAATGTGCACAACATAATGTAAAGTTCAGTGCTGAAGAGGAATATGTCTATATCTGTGATTTGATAATTACACACAGACTTTATGCTATGGTGCTGTACCAAAAAAATAAAAAACACATTTCAAAATATACTTACTGGGCATTGCCTTTCAAAAGTTGCAGTGTAATTTCCTAGACAAAGCATTTCACAGTGTCAAATGAATATTAGCCACATATGCTACACTAGATAAAAAAATTTATAGGGAACACATAACGCTAGCGAACAGGTGGTTTTTATTCAAATATTTACCTAAAGTAGAATACAGTGGGAAAATTAATATTCAGCATTAAGAAATGAAATTCAGAACGAAGAGAACAGATGTTCTCACAGACTTACATGGTGTTGTCTCAAAAATTAAAAACTACTCTATCTAACCACGAACACATACGCATAGACAGAACGAATCAATTCTATGTCAATTCCACCAATGTTTTAGTTTTGGTCTTTAAATATCCAGGTTAGCTCTTGAATTATCATAAAGCCTCCACATTGATTTCTCTATCTTGGTCTTCTCTTGATAGAAGAAAGCAAATTGAAAACTAATTTATGGGATAATAAGGAAAAACGAAACATTGACTTGACATTTGGTTATACAAAGGGATTATTAAGTTATTTTAGGTGTAATAAAGAAACTGTGTTTGTGTATATGTGCACAAATGGACAAAAGATAGATGAGAGTGTTTGAAAAGTTTGTGGAAGAAGGATAGTACAAGTTCATTTTGGTAAAATTTTTTTTTGTAAAATTATTTATTTATTTTTATTTATTCATTCTTTTTTTTTTTTTTTAATTTGACCAGAGAGAGACAGAGATAGAGAGAGAGAAAGGGAAAGTGAGAAAGCAAGCCACCAGGTCCAGGGACTTGAACACTGGTCAGCCATGTGGGAGTATCCAGCGCTTTAACCACCACGCCACCTGCTGGTCACAAGGCAAAGTTTTTGAAATCCCTGCGTAATTTTTTCATAATAATCATTTCCATGAACTTGTTGCAGATCTTGCTGCTTGTGTATATGTACACAAATACACTGATACTTTATACAAAGGAACTGACACTAACATTTAGGCAGTATAACGGTACTATGTTATGTACTCATTTGTGCATCTATACAGTCGTACATTGCTTTATGACACAGATACCTTCTGAGAAATGACTTCATTGTGTGTACATTATTACAGAGTGTACTTACACAAACCTACAGAGTATAGACTGTGCACACATAGGTTGAATGGTATAATTTTGTGAGATCACTATCACACAAGCTGCCTGTTGTTGACCAAAACATTCTTATGTTGCATATGATTATACATGTATAATTTTAGAAGTTTATTTTACATATTGAGTCTTCAAGTTCAAATTAGTAATTCCTGAGATTTTCCCCAGAATAAAGGCTGCTTTGGAACACCTTAACAAAATTAATTAAATATATTTCAAAAAATTGAAATGCTTCTCCAAACAAACACAGAGAATATTTAAAGGACAAATCCAAAATTTGATAATATAAAATTCTAAATATCCACCATCCAGTAAACAACTGTTGGACATGCAAAAAGGAAGATCAGGAGACTAACAAGTAGGAAAAGAAAATCAATAGGAAAGAATCTAGAAGTAGCACAGATAATAAAATCAACAAAGAAGATTTTAAAATAGTTATTAAAAACACATGTTCAAGGAAGAAGAGGGACCAGCAGATGGCTAGTTACATCACTGTAATGTAATGGTTACTTCACTGGACTCCCATGTAGTCAACCGTGGTTAGAGTTCCAGACCCAGTGGCTCAAAACTCACACTGGGTGCATGTACAAGCATGACCAAAATCTCCAGAGGAGAATGGAGGAGAAGGGATTGCAGTGTGGCCATTCCCCACTGGAGGCAGAGGAAGGGGACTTCTTGCTTTCTGTCTATCTCTCCCTGTCTCTCTGGCGAGCACACATGCCTTATAGTAAAAAAAATCTCTCTCTAAATTAAAAAAAAAAAAAAGGAGAAAAAACATGCACAATGAGAGAAATAAAAGAAATGAAAAAAGCAAGTGTAACTTTTGGAGTGGAAAACAATGGAAATTAACAATACACTGAATAGGGTAGGTAGTAAATTAACAGAGGAAAATGTTGCAGGAAACCAGAACATAGGGCTAATAGGTGGTATGGAGGATAAGGTGCTAGATCCAACATCGCCAACTGTGCCTGGAGAAATTTTTGAGAAAGTGTTTAACATTCAAGCCATTGTCTTTAACTGATAATATAGCTGTTCAAGTTATGTGTTTTGTCTTGAATAAGCTTTGGTAGTATATGTTTCTAAAGGAAGTTATTCATTTCATCTAAGCTGACAAATACCTTGACATAAAGCTGTTTATAATACTTCTTTTAATAGTCTTTTAGTGTTGGGAGGATCTATAATAATGGTTTATTTCTAGTTTTTGATGTGGTATTTTTGACTACTTTCTCATTTTTTTCTTGATCTTCTTTAGTTAGAGTCTTATTTCATTAATATTTATAAGTGTCAACTTTTTCTCATTGGCTTTCTATATTTTCTGGTTTTCTTTCTCTTTTAGTTTTGCTATGGAGTGTGAGTGTGCTTACCAGAGAGAGACAAAGAGAGAGAGGGAAAGTGAGAAATCACTCCCTGGAGGGACAGCTACAAGGAGATGTCTTCTCCTCCATTCTCCTCTTGGGATTTTGGCCAAGCACACACTTTGTACACACACACTTTGTAAAGTGTGATTTACAGGCTGCCAGTCCAGGACTCGAACCATGCAGTTGGTTTGAATTCTAGATATTTAAAAATAACAATTCTACCAACTCCACCAGAAAATAGAAGGGAGCACTTAACAACTAATCTCATCAATACAGCATTATCCTGCTATCAAAACTAGTCAAAATTATTACATGAAAAGAAAGTTTTAGACCAGCAATCTTCATAAATATGGATGCAAAAATGCTCAACAAAATATTAGCAAATAAACACAGCAAACCAATTGCCCACCAACAGAACACAAAAATAAATGGTAATTTGTTCATACAATAAAATACAATGAAAAGGAATGGAGCTAAAATAGCAATATAGATCAAATCTTATATTCCAAATGTTCAGTAGAAAAAAGTCAGTCACAAGAGAAAGAACGCTATAAATTCAATTTATATAAATTTCAAAGCCAGGCAAACAAATCTACAGCATTATAAAAAGAACAGCAACCCTTGGAAATGTAATGACTTGAAAGGGATATGGAGAGCTTCAGGGATGCTGTTAACAGTCTTTTCTTTTTGTAGATGCTAATTACAAATGCATGTTCTCTTTCAAAAAATCATCATGTATAATTTTTACATGTTGCTCTATGTATGTTATGTATGTTAGCATAAAAAAATCCAATGTCTCTAAGAAATGTCTCTTGATGGACTGAAATTACGGATGCTCGTGTCATGTTACACTGTACTTATTCATGTGTTACTTTTTTCCCTTAATAAATGAATGACTTCTCTGCCTGACAAAATCACATACATGAGTCTGAAATTGTGCTATTTACTTAATCTACATCCTTGTCACTCCCTTATAGGTTTGTTTAACGGTCAGTTACCAGGTTTCTACTATGTGCAAGACATTAAACAGTGAAAATACAAAAGATAAACAGACACCCTTCTGACAAAACTGAATTTTCTGCAAATATGTTACTTAATAAATGTAGTTCGATTTCTTCAGAACGTCTATTATCTCTTGTCATGCTCTACCACTTTAACTTGCTTTTTCTCTCGATCACATGTCTATCTAATATTACTTTATCTGATTATGTACTGCATTTCTTCATTCTCCTGAAACGTAAACTTTATAACAATAAGTATAGAAGATTTGGATCACTGCTGTATCCCCAGAATAGTGTCTGGTTTACAGTCAATTTTTAATGGTTGTAGAATATTGCATCAATAGTTCACAGTTTGTTTCTCAGTCATTGCTCCAGAGCATTCTTCAAACCAATTACAGGCTTTAGGTGAGATCTACTTTGGTCTCCTAGTATTCCAAGGTATTAATAGTTCTTCCTAGTTTACCAGGATTATTTTAAGAATTTTCGGGAGAAAGAATTATCCCCAGGTAAAAACGGCACCCGTATAAGAAGTAACGGGTTGAAAACAAAATTTTAAGAAAATTGTCAAGATACTAGGACACATTAGTGAAACTAAAAGTAGAGACATCAGTGAGCTATTGCAACAGTATAAACATGAGGGTAAAGAGATCTCAAATAGAATGAACAGGAAGGAAGAGGGATATTGGGAAAAAATTAGGAAGGGAAAGACTTTTCATATTCTAGACTTTTATACTACAGTGAACATACTGCCTGTAAAAAAATCATGTATACAGAGGAAAAGGTTCTGGAAAATGAGTACTTAAAAAAATGATTCATGAAACTCAAAAAAATTTGTGTACCAAAATAAAACTGTATTTTAGTTCCATTTTTTTCCCACAAACTTTTAAAAACTTTATTCTTCAACTAAAGAGCATCCCCAAAGGGTCTTTATGCCACCCTCTACTCCTAGCATTCAGCTAGCCCTGGATCATGGGAACGTGTGTGCCCAGCATACTCAGAGAGGTCTCTGGACTTGAAATAGGAACCTTTCCATGTGGGAATGTATCAAAGAGCATCCCATTTTACTAATGTGCCATTATCTGGCCCCTCTTTGAGTTTTCTGTTTGTTTGTTTTTATCTCCTCACTCTGTGTATATGTGTGTGTGTTGGGAGGAGAAGGGTGTTAGTGTATATGAATTTACATACCTGTAGCTTATAGACCAAAAACCTAAGCAGAAATACATACAATCTGTTTATACCATATACCTTGTAGTTCAATCTTCAAGACAGATGTTCCATTTTCACAATCAGTTAAAGAGGTAAATGAAAATTTTACCTGAAATGAGAGAAAAAGTTACAAGAAACCTGAAGAATTTATAGCAACAAAATATAAAAATTAGGATAAATTTTTAAAGCAATAGAAATATCTATCTTTCAAAAAATCAAAATACTATGTACAACTATTTTAAGAAATGAAATAACAGTATATTAGTATTTCTACAACAAAATGAGAGGGTCTTAAAAATACTTAAGTTCAAACCAACAAGTGGTGTGGTGGTTATGGGACTGGACTCTCATATAGCTGATCGCAGTTTGTCCCAGACCTGGCAGCTTGGAAATCATGCCAGGCACATGTACAAGCATGCCCCAAATCCCAAGAGGCAAATGGAGAAGGGACTGAAGTGTGACCATCTCCCCTGAAGGAGGGATGGTTTCTAACTTTCCCTCTCTCTGTCTCTCTCTAGTGAGCACACTTGCTTTATGGCAAAAAAACAAACAAAAAAATGGTTCATAATTTAAACAATCTTATTAGTTAGTACTTGTCCCAACCCAGGGAACAGTCAAACAGGTTTCCTGAGGGAAGGAGTGAGAGAGGGGACGAACAATGCAGTGTTACAACATGCGAACAACGCACTGTAACAACATGGAGACGACGCAGGGTCATCCGTTTATTGTGGGCAGCACGGAGACGACACAGTGTTAAAACTCTGGAGACATTTTTGCTATAGGACGCGTGCGCTCGCCAGACAGACAGAGAGAGACAGAGAGATAGAAAGCGAGAAATCACCCCCCAGGGGGGATGGCCACACCACAATCCCTTCACCTCCATTCTCCTCTCAGGATCTTAGACACGCACACACACGTGCCCGGTGTGAGTTCAAACCACCGGGCCTGGGACTCGAACCGCGGTCAACTACGTGGGAGTCCAGCAACATAGCCATAACATTAACTGCTGGTCCCAGTGTTACAACTCTTTAGGGTCGTCCAGAGGCAACAAAGTGTCACAGCTCTTCAGGGTCGTCCAGAGACGACACAGTGTCACAGCTCTTCAGGGTCTTCAGGGTCGTCTGGCGATTGTGGGCCAGGGATTGTGGTTATATACATGTTGGTGGACAGTGATTGGTTGTTCTATATGTAAATGAAGGATTGTAAAAGGTGGGTTATGATTGGTTGCTTTTGTGGACCAATCATGAGGTGCCAGATATGCAAATCTGAGGGATTCTAAGCTTACCGATTTGCTATGGAAACTGGCCAATCAGAGTATGGTTTTGAAGGTGAGGTTTTGAAGGACAGCCAATCATGGCCTTTGCCATTGTGTAACTGTTTGCTCTCTGAGAAACCGGCAATATTCGCTGGTGCGCAGCCTCCCACAAGTACTCTCAATTTTTCATTTACTTACAGATAAACTATATTAACTCTCACCAACTTCATTTTGCCCATAACACTGTTCTCTACTAAGCCAAAACTGAGGTTTGCACCTAGAAAGAAATGAAAGTATTTTTCTTTTTTTTAAATTTTTTTTCATTGCCAGAAGGTACATACACTTGAGAGAGAAAGCATCCTAAAAAAGCAGGGTCACACTGCAATCTCTTCTCCTCCATTTCTCCATCCTTTTGGGATTTGGGACATATACACACACATTCAGAACATGCTTTTCAAGCCACCAGAACCAGGAATCAAACTGTGGCTGCCTATGTGGGATCTGGCTCCCTCATCCACTAGGATATATAGACTGCCCAAAATAAAAATTAAAAAAGAAAAATTTAGAGGTACAAAATAATAACCTCCATAAATAAGGATAGTGTGGGCAAATCAATTGACTAAGGCAAAATACAAGGTAGTCATTGTTCTGCTTCTGTAACTAGTCTTGTTAGTTCAAAAAGTGATTCAATCAGTCCCAGCTATAATGAAGTATTTAATCTGGACGGTTTCTATCATTTCTTTGACTCTAAAATTTAATGTTTCTATGAAGATGTCACTGGGCTCTTTATACACCTCTACAAAGAAATTTACTTTATGTAATAAAGTTTTATGAAAGATCCTATAATATATATATTTCAGACTAAGATTCCACACTTTGATGAAGCCAACAAAAGAAACACTAATTTTATGCAGGCAACAAAGTAGAAATCCCCAGCATCTGGAAACAGAAGTTCCTAGAACTTTGACAGGAAACCTTTTAAGAAACAGAAGTTGTGGATGAGGGGCGTCATTAATGATCTCTGTCTTTCATAACTACTCCAGAAGTCTTCCCTGACACCAAATGAGAACACAGTAGTTGCCACTCTAATAAGCTTCTGGGAACTTTGAAAGTCAACTAAACGCTGAGCCCCATACCATCATCCATCTGATGGCTCTAACCCATCAGTCAGCAGCGCACTGACCCCTATACTTTCCACGCTGAATACTGCCTGCAACTAGGGAAAACAAGTTGGGCAAGCCAAGACAAATTTAACTCTTTGCCTTCAAGTGGTCTCTCTGAAAACTAGTAATAACCTGAATCACTGAGACTAAACTGGGAGGCCTTAGGACTTAACCAACTGGAAAACCACACAGGGCACGCTGTCAACCCATGCTACCTGGCTAATCACAGCCTTCTTGGAAGTTCCTCCAATAATTGTAAATTCTTTCTTTCAGGAGGTGGCATGAATGCCCTTGGGATTGTGCTTCTTCTGAGAAGGGTGGAAGGAAATTAACCAGGAAAACTGTAATTTGCACCTTAGGGTAGTTAGTAAGGCACATGAGAAGTATTTCAGCAGGTAAATGGACAGGACCAACACTTCAGGCTGCTGAAACTGGGGGTGGATTGTTGTGTGAGGACCCTGTTGGGGGGGTGCCCCTCTCTCTCTTTTTCATGGAAAAAACAAATTTTAAAACGATACACTTAAGTATTTAACACCTTTCAATACGATGTAGCATTCTGTTACATATCAACTGTTCTACCTACAATGGGAATTTACCATTAAAAAGGTGGTATGAAATTTGTGCTTGCAGATGAGCAAAACACACGTAGGTACTTTACAGTCCACCTACTAAAAACAAAATATAAAACAGAAAGGTTGACTGAATGGTGGCACATATGTAAAACATGATTTTCTGTGAGGCTGACCCATGAGGAAGGTTTTGGGTACAGCATAGGGCAATGATCCTGGGCTGGCTGAGGTTAGGGGTGGATCACCTAAATGTCCTTCCATTAATCTTCTCTTTCCAAAATATTTTTTTACCAGAAAAGTGGATCACCTAAATGTCCTTCCATTAATCTTTCTCTTTCCAAAATATTTTTTTACCAGAATGTAAAAGAATTTGAATTCAAAGTGAATCATCTCTTTCCCCTGCTAAAAATCTGCTAAACTAAAGGCCTTAGGGAAACATCCAAATTCCTTAACACGCCCACAATGACTTCTTTTACCCAAAAGAAAGGTACTATGCAATTCTGTCAACCTGTAATTTCTGGCTCAGTTTTCTTGATTTAACATGCCAGAATTAAAAGTTCTTTCATGTTCACGTATTGCAATACTACTAACACATGTACTAATTAAAATTAAAGATTAGATTACGTGCCAAATGACTCCCTTTAGTTCTGAGTCTATATTTATTCATTTAGATTACGTGCCAAATGACTCCCTTTAGTTTTGTGTTATATTTATTCACCTATAAATATGTACCTTGGAAATGCATTCCAGTGCATCATAGAATAATCTGATTAATATTTGTTAAATGATGAATAATTAAGAATAGCATATCACTGAAATGTTGTCTTTCATATTATGTCAAAAATAAAAACCATTCCTAAGACAGCGCTCACATAAAAACTTGCATTTCTCTCAGAAGGAAAAAGCATTCAGAATTATAAATTCTTACCTGGATATAGCTCTTGTTATAATCACAATGTGACCCAAGGGACCTGAAATCTACTTTGTGTACATTGCTCAATGTCTGAAATTCAGTCACCCCATTGATTTCATTTATTAATTGCAGTGGCATAACAGTTCTGTCTCATGGTGATGTCCAGAGTGATAGCAACTAAGGAAGCTGACAGCCTCTGCTGAAGACACAAAAGCAAAACCAGTATTTTATCCAAAATGTCAAACAATTTGCTTTAAGCCTCTTTAATTTAATTAATCATTTCCTTTAAGCTATCACTGTAGGGAATAGAGTGGCAAAAGAAAGGATCATTTTACAATTTTGTAAGGCTCAATACAAAGCACTCTTCTAAGGAACTGAAACTTAACCCTTTTAAAAGTACCTCTAAAAGCCAGTTTTAAGATCACTGAAAACTTCCACTAACACTTTCACCATGGTGTTTTAAAATATAAAAGCTACTGGGGAAAGAAGGGCTAATTTTTTTTTTCCTTAATGCCCTTGGCAGTTCTAGGTGTGTAGGTAAAGTGTGCACCAAAAGCTTCTTAACTCCAAAGATATCTGTGGCGTCCTCCCTTCACCCACTAAATGGTTGAAAGCAACAATTATTAAACTGATGTTAACTTGTGCATTATAACTTCAATCTTATTTCTCAAACCTGTTGACTGGGACACTTACTGGTGTCGACATTTAATTTTAATGTGTGTCACCTTGCTTCCCCAAGTCGCTTGAACTCCGTGAAGCAGGGGATCTGGACCAGTGTCTGCTTCTTACAAATCGCTAACCAAGAAGCTCAACACCTGAGGATCTGGGTAAGTACGCAATGAAGGGGTTCGGAATAACTAGAATACATTTTGAACTAAACGAAATCAACCTCTTTATAATACAAATCCAGTGTCCAACCCACCTTGTGCCCAGCCAAATAACACCAAGCCTACTTCTTAAACACTCACCTGATCTCTAGGAAGGAAACTAGGAAGAGTTTAGACAGGCGCGCCCATGACGTCACACGCACGCCGCGTCCCAGCTCCCACGCATGCGTGCATAGTCGCTAGGGCTGCTCGCCGCTCCTTACTGCGCATGCGGAGGACAAACTGTAACGATAGTCGGATTTAAAGTCACCGGGCTGCTTAGCCAAAGGCGCGGATTACTGCGGCGCGGAGGCAGCTAACGGCCGCGGTACAGGCCACGCCCACTGCGGTCACCTGCCCGGGTTTTTCCGCCTCTCTTTTTAGCCCCGCCCCTGTCAATTACCAGTGTTCTCTACTGAGGAAGCTGGTGCTTTGGCCCAGGGATTCTTGAATCCTGTGACCACTAAAAACCCTGTTTTAAAACTTGGGCGGCATTTGAGGATCCCTTTAGCAGATTGGAATCTCCTACGGGCAAGGCCCTACAATTATCTTCCAGACCTCTCCTCCCAGAAATACCAAATCCAGTTTGTACAAAGAATATTTAAGAGTATAACAATGGTATCCATGGGTTCTTAAACCAATTGTCTGAAATTGTTATAATTCCACCTCCTAATTGTGCCATTTATAGACAGATTCTATTAATCTTGTCTTTAATTTATAGGTCTATGATTTTGTGGTGTAATTAATATTTTTAATTTGCTATAATGCACATGTGCATTTAGTGTTAGTCCTTCTTTTCTTCCTTCTCCTCACTCCTATGTTCGTGTATCATGCATAAATTAGTGATGACAACTGAGTCCTCATTCGGAAACCATCCTTTAGAGGAAAACCACAATTATTTAGGCTCAGACCCTATCCTTCCTTCTCAGATCTCACCCAGCTTTGCAGTACTGTTCCTGTTTCCTGAGAAAAGCTCCTTGGATACCAACCATTTCGATCTCATTTCCATCATCAGTATTATATCTTCCTTCAATGTATTTTCAATTTTCCCTTATTACTTGTTCTTTCTAAAAGCATTTAAACACATTCTTTCAGGGGGCTAAGCTTATCAAGAAAAGGACGAATTAGTATTTGGTTTTGGTCTTTTTTTTTTTTTTTTTTTTTTTGCTATAGGGTGTGTGCGCTCTCCAGAAAGAGAAAGACAGACAGAAAGCGAGAAATCACCCTTCAGGGGATAGACCACACCACAATCCCTTCTCCTCCATTCTCCTCTTGGGATCTTGGGCACGCACACCCACATGCCTGGTGTGAGTTTAAACCGCAGGGTCCAGGACATGAACCATGGTTGACTACATGAGAGTCCAGCAACATAGCCATTACTGCAACTGCTGGTACCAAATTATTTACTATTTGTATGCCATAGAGCCTGTACAGCATCTGGGACATTGTAGGGGCTAAATATTTGTTGAATGAACAAATGCTCAAGAAAAATGTTACTTTCCTCACCTCTGACTTCCACCCTCCATCTTACCCCAACCCTAACCCCATTTCACTGAAATTGCCATTGATAAAAAGGCAGAAGATGGACCTCTTTGTTGCTAAGTCAAAGGAACATTTTTAGTCTCACCTTTGTGAAAGCATTTTCTTTTTGTTACCACATTCTGGTGTTCCTCTTACTCCTTATCAACTGACTCTTTAAAAAGTTTCCCTTGTTTTCTGTTTAGTCTTTCAATATCCACATTCTATAGAATGTGATAGAGCTTTCTACCAGAAGTAAACATACCTGTGTTTTTTGTTGTTGTTTTGGTGGTTCTCATTATCTCTAGAATGCAGATACTTCCTACATGACCAAGTATCCAGTTTTGTTTCTTTTTATACTATCTGTTAATGGCAGAGCAGAGGGTGCATCTGGGTTCAGAGACTATACTTTCACATTAGCAATTAGTTTCTACAAATGAAAACTGAACTTGAATATACAGTACAATTTAAGATAATAAGAAATGAAAAAAGAGAGTCGAAGCAACTTGGTAAGACACCGAGGACATACGAATGCCAAAATAATCCATTCCTTTTTTTTATGTCTATTGAAACAGAATGAAAAAGCTACTCCAAGACTAACAATTAACATAATGACTACTACAACTTAATAATTTGAAAAGGGGCAAAGAAAAAGTTTTGCTATAAAGCTCTATATTGTAAAAATGTTCAATTTTAAGAAAATTTAAAATGAGTTTCTCACTAATAAATAATAAGCACCAAACGTGAAATGGGTATTTTTAGAGATACTGCATAAATGTAAGGATTCAATACAGTTGTGTTTATAATACAACTGAAAGATCTTGGGTCCAGCAGTTAGCGTAATGGCTATGTCGCTGGACTCCCACGTAGTCGACTGCGGTTCGAGTTCCGGACACAGTGGCTTAAATGCACGCCGGGCATGTGTGCGTGCATGCCCAAGATCCTGAGAGGAGAATGGAGGAGAAGGGATTGCGGCATGGCCATCCCCCCTGGGGGGTGATTTCTTACTCTCTGTCTCTCTGTCTGTCTGGCGAGCGCACGCGCCCTACAGTGAAAATCTCTCCAAAAAAAAAAAGAAAAAAAAATACAACTGAAAGATCTTTATGAATTTCTGATACTTTTACCCTATCATTAGAATTTTCAAATCCCTCTTTATTTACTTTTAATGTCTAAGTGTTGAATTAAATAGTCTAGTAGTGGAACATTTCAAATGTATTTTCTTTGAGTTAATAGTGAAGTCATTAACCCATTCCAATTTGAGTGGCATCTATTCTGCAAGCTATCATCCATCACATCGTATTCCTACAGCTGGATATCATCATCTCCTACATATTCCTTATATTTTTCCAGCAATAGCTAGGCTAAATTGGTTAGAATTCATTTTCTTGTGATCTAAAAGCCTTTATTCCCCATCCTATTGAACATTTAGAATGACTTACAAAACCCTTTTTCAATAAAGTGTCAAAATTTGGGGCCATCCAGAGGCGTGGTTAAGGCCTGATCCCTCAAAGCCAATTGAGCAGTTCAAGGCCTGGACCCAGCAGCTTGAGAAACACACTGGAGGCATATGCATGCATGCCAAAAATTCCAAGAGGAGACTGGAGGAGGAGACTATAGCATGGCCATCCCCCTTTCCTTTGTGAGCACACACGTCCTATAGCAAATTTAAACAATTTTATGTTGTTATACAGTTTAACCAGGAGAGAATTCAAACATAAATGTATATTAAGTTTATGTTTAGCTTATACATTTATGTTTAAGCGATAAGGAATTAAGAACCAATCCCTGTCCCCCACACATGCACCAGGTGTTTATTTGTGGAAAGAACCATATTGCTTAAGAAAGTGTATTTCCTCAGGTTTCTCCGTCTAGATGGGGAAGGAAGAAAAAGATAGAAATTGAAGTGTAACCAGCAAAAACTCAGAGATAAACATGTTTCCCAGAAGAGATGCTACACTCTCATCAACCTAACCAAAAAACTAAACCAAACAACAGCAGCAAAAAAAACTTTACTAAAGTAATTGAACTCACAGAATGCTTGCAAATGAGTGAAATCTTTGAGAAAACCAGTGAGGAACTTGGTTATGTTCAGATTCATGCACATGTAGCTGAGCCACCACACACAAAAAAAGGCACATGAAGGAAGGCAAGAGAAACTGATCTGCTAGAAATGAACAGACCTGGAGGGAGATTACTCAAGGAGGATCTTTCAGCTTCTTAAAACTGTGCAAATAAATTTCTACTTTCAGTCTCTTTCGTCTACATGTCTTCTGTTTTATACCATGAGGATATGTTTAAGAGAATCCTGCAGTAATCCCCACATACTCAGCTTCTTTAAAAAATGTATTAGACTAATGAATAGTTTTGATGATTTGTACTGAAAAAGAAAATAATGATTCAACTCTAAAAGTTGAAGAGCACAGTAAGTAGCAGGTAGCAATCTTTTAGCCTGACATTTTTTTTATTCTTCATCCTATTTATTAAGTAATCAAAAATTAACATACCCTTAGAATGCTTTTTTAATAACAGGTTTTGCATAATGGAAACTGATCAAGAGTTTGCATATTTTTAAATTTATCATGGTTGTTTTAAGTAATTGGGAACCATTACTTTAGGTTCAAAATACTTAAAAATCAATTTCTTCTGTGAGAAAGAGAGACAGAGACAAAGAAAGGGAGATGCATCCTCAATAAGGTCTCACACTGCAATCCTCCCCTCAACTTTCTCAACCAGGATCATGGGTATGTGTGCACACACCTGGTGTATACAAATTGAGCTAGGAACCAAACCATGATCCACCATATAGATCCAGCAACATGAAGCTGTGCATGACTTGACCTCTGTGCCACTGTAGCTGGCCCTCAAAATGTCTTTTTTGTTGTTAATTTTCTTTTAAAATTTTTGCTATAGGGTGAGCATGTTTGCTGAGAGAGAGAGAGAGGCAGAGAGAGAAAGAGAGAGAGAGGGAGAGAGGGATGCCAGGGGGATGACCATGCTGCAGTCTCTTCTCTATTCTTCTCTTGGGCTTTTGGGCACTCCCACACACAGACACACAACATGTTTCTTAAGCCACCCTGTCCAGAACTTGAACTGTGGTGTTGGCCATGTGGGATCCAGCTGCATTAACTATCACATCACTGGCTGGCCCCCAAATACATTTTTTTTTTTTTGGAGAGATTTTTGCTATAGGGCACGTGCACTCGCCAGACAGACAGAGAGAGACAGAGAGACAGAAAGTGAGAAATCACCCCCCAGGGGGGATGGTCATGCCGCAATCTCTTCTCCTCCATTCTCCTCTCGGGATCGTGGGCACGCACCCACACACGCCCGGCGTGCGTTCTAAGCCACCGGGGCCGGGACGCGAACCGTGGTCGACTATGTGGGAATCCAGTGACATAGCCATTATGCTAACTGCTGGTTCCCCAAAATACATTTTTAACATGGAGAGACATTTTGTAACTGTATCAGAACTTTTTATTATTAATTTATTAAAATCTGAATCTATTCTATACGTTCGTACACTTTATAGGAAATAGGAAACAGTACATAGAGTCCACTTGATGAAAACTGAGTATAGTTTATTCATTTTTCACTGTATACAATATGATATTCTATGGCTAAATGTTAGTTTATATTTCCACCCTATAACTTGTCTATCAGAAGCCATGTACTGTTAGAATGATGTGGTTACAGCTGCTGTATTAAATA